GAGCCAGACAGAGATGCCTGTCTGTGCTAATGAGGAAAGGAGTGGCTCAAGTTCTAACAGCAAGGGTCATCAGCCTAGGGCGGCATCCTTAGCTAAGAGACTGCAAGATTAAGAAAGACTGGACACAGACGGCTGGTTGGGGGAGAGACCTTTAAGAAGAAAACACACAGTCGGTCTAAGATGAGGTGATGAGGAAGAATCAGCAAAGGAGACTGAGAAAGGTAGGAAGAAAATCAGGTGTAGGCTTCAGAAGTGATGTGAAGTGAGGCGAGGAGTAAAGACGGATTCTATCTCATGATGAGTTCACCCTGTTAGTTCCTCATCTCTCACCTCACTCCTTCAAACTCACCCCAATTCTTTTTCTCACCAGCCCTTCTCTCAGCATGCACATCCACTTCTCAAGCTCTTCTAACAGAAATGGAAGCGTCCACTACCTGTTTCTTTTATGTAAGCAGGACAAGGCCAAATGCTAACAGCCTTATGTGGAAAACTCCTACCCAAAGGAGGAGAATTAGAAAGCAAAGGCTGTGAATTTTGGTAATTAGATATTTTAAAATGTTTTGAGTTTGTTGACTAAAAATAAAACCAATCAAATACATCAACTATCAAGGAAATACAAATTAAAAATAAGCAGGCTGGCATTTTTCTTGCAAATCAGATTGGCATTTAAAAAGGCATATCCCGTATGGGCAAGATGCAGAAGACATTTCCATACATGACTAGTGGAAGTGTTAATTTGTAAAACTTTCCAAGAGAGCAATTTGGCTATCTATAAGAATAACATTTTAAAGTTCCTCCTTAAACCTTGTGGTCCAATGATTCTGCATTTAGCAATTGATCTTCAGAAAAGAATCAGAAGGTACACCAAGGTTTCTGCAAAAGATGTTTACTTTAGCATTGTTTCTTATTGAATTTGGGATATAAATTCTGTGAGACTATATTCTCAGAGACTATCTAAACAACTCCTGAGTGTTGTTTCTTATAGAATTTACAGCAATAAAATAATACTCAGCACTGGAGCATGAGTCAGAAAATCATCAGACAGCCATAAGAACAATACAGTCATCCCTTCGAATCCTTGAGGATTGGTTCAGGAACCTGCAGGTACCAAAATCCATGCGTGCTCACATTCTTGTTGTACAACAGTACAGTGGGGTAGGCGCTGTGGTGCTGCAGGTTAGTGCATGGCTTGCAATGCCAGCATCCCATATCAGAGGCCAGCTGAGTTCCAGGTTAATTCAAACACTGAAGTTTCTGCTGCCCGAGTGGGAGACCCAGGTGGAATTGCTACCCTCTGGTTTCAGCTTGGCCTGGCCCTGTCAGTTGCAGGCATTTGGGGAAAGAAGCAATGGATGTAAGATCTCTCTTTGTCACTCTGCCTTTCAAATAAATTAAATAAATGAATGTTTTAAGAAATGAAACAGTGTAGTAGTTGCATATAATCTAGGTCCATCTTCCTATATACTTATACTTACTTATAGCCCCTAACAATATAAATAGTTGTTTGAATACAGAATTGTTCAGGTAATAATGATGAATTTTTTACTTGTACAGTGCAGACACATTTTTTTCAAATCTTTTTGATCTACAGTTTGAATCAGCAGGGGCAAAATCCATGGATTCAGAGAGCCAAATATACTCCACTGCAAAGATAATATTTTAAATCTATGAGAACAAGACTACAACATAATCACAGTTTTTTTTAAAAAGCCATAAAATAATACTTACAACATGACTATTTTTGTAGAGAAAGAGGATAGAAAAATTAAAAATACATCAACTTACATCTTATAATGATTTCCATACATGCTTGAGTTTACTGGAGTTTTTAATTATCAAATATTTTTATTGAGGGCCTGCCACATAATAGGGACTCATCTAGGTGCCTGAGACAAATCAGTAAAAATTGATAGAATTTCTATCCTTGTGGTGCTTACATTCTTACAGGTGACAGATAATAACAAGGCAAGGGATTTTGTATGTTTTAGGAGGCAATAAGTACTAGATGAAAAACAGAATAAAAAATGGAGTTGGGGTTATATGGCCACTATTTTAAATAGGAGAGTTAGAGTAGGTCTCATTGAGAAGGTAGCATTTGACAATACCTTTATGGAGTGGAGGAAATTAACAATGTGAGTGTAGAGGGGAAAGTATATGTCTGCTGTGTGTGATGTATCCAAACAGCAGCAGGGGTGCTTATGTGGCTTATAACAGGAAATAAAGTTAGAGAACCTGACTGGGTAGAATCAACTGTAAGACTTTGGCTATGTAGAGTATAGACAGGCTGGGGACTATGAAATAATCTATATGGTAGATGGTGGTATTGAAATAAAAGAAGAACAGTGAGTACAGTGAGAACTGGCTGCATTCTGGGTGCGGTTTGAAAGTACAACCAACAGAACTTCTTTCACAGCTTGGATAGGGGAATAAAGCAAAAGAGGCCATCAAGGTTTTCAGCCCAAAGATTAGGAAGATAGAGTTGTGATCAGCGGAAATGGAGGGACTGTGAGTAAATCAGGTTTTGGGTAAGAATGAGGAGATTAGGCACTGAGGGTTTGACCGGGCAATTCTCTGCAAGGGGAGACAGCCAGCAAGAAGTTGACCATGATAATATAGAGTTAAGAGGACATGGCTGCACTGGAGAGGTGGTATTGGAAGCTATGGGAATGGGTGCAGGGAGCAACCGTGGGCAGAGAAGAGGTCTAAAACTGTGGCCTGGAACAACTCAATGTCAGCTGCTTCAGGCAACAAGTAATAACGTGGGGGAGGTGGGGGCACTGGGTTCAGAATGTGACCAGTGAGACAGAAGGAAAACCAGAAGAATGTTGAGGGGAAAGAGTTTCAAACACTGTAGGTAAAGAAGTGAAGTTGAGAAGTGCAAACTGATCACTGGATTAAGCACTGTGGGAGTTGGACCACTGGTGACACTATGCCTGGAGATACGGGTCAAGCAAGAAATTGGAAAGCAGAGGAGGAGGCTGTGAGTATGGACAGTTCTTTGAAGGAATTTGCTGCAAGGGGGCACAGAGACATGGAGAAGCAGGTACAGAGGAGGCTGGGTTTTTGTTCATTATTTTCCTTTTTAACAAAATAAATAGTTAATTTGGAGCAGATAGCTGATGGAAAACCTGGCCATTCTACTGTGATCGTTAATATTCTCAAGCCAGTACAGGTACAGCAGATTGTATGGCTGGGAGGTCACACAAGAGCTCCATGATCAAAAAAGCTCTTGTTTATTGGTCTGTCCTACTCTCTGGCTTAACGTTTTTAACTCTAGTCTCCCCAACAGTTCAGGAGGTCACACATTTAAAATAGAAACATTTAAGGTCAATATAATTTCACAGAGCAATGATCATTATTAAAGTAAGCACCCTATACCCTTCCCCACAAACACACATATGAGGATATGCCAAGAAACCATTTACCTCCATGGGAAAGTCTGTGACGTGGAATCTTAGAATTACAGAGGGAAACCAGTTAATATAGAATACCAAAAATGTACAGGAAGGAAACGGATATTTGGTGATATGATTATTATTTTTAGCCCTTGTTTTTACTCCTGTAAACTGTGGTTTTCCTACTTTTTACTTGTTGACTATTATGATTAATGGCAAATTAAGCCTGTGAATATAGGGTGGATTAAATTTACATCCTTGCCAAAACTGATGAAGAGAGGGCCACGATATTAATATTGATATTAATAAAAATAAGACTGAAATAGGGAACATGATCAATCTGTGGTAAGAAAGCCTATTTTGCTAGAAAAAATTAGAAAAATCTTAGCTGTCCTACCCAACTCCTCCAAGAACTTTGTAACCCAAGAAACCAAGGCACTTTCTATGCACAGTCTCTTCACTAGGATTACAAAGAAAAAAATGCAGAAATAAACTCAGGGAAGCTCCGTGTTGGAAGGTTCCACAAACCTCAACTAAAACATTCCAACTCACCTACTTGTAATACATACCCATTCTTCCTTCTGATCAGTATCTTTTCCCTCTCCCTCTTCCTCTCCCTCCCTCCCATGGGTCCAGTATCACTGTTCTCTTTCCTTCCTTCTCCTTATGAAAACCAGTGCTCAGAGAAAATCCCAGAGGGGCCTGGTGTTGTGGGATAACAGGTTAAGCTGCCGTCTGCAATGCCAGCATCCCATATGAGCACCAGCTGGTGTCCCGGACGCTTCACTTCCGATCCAGCAAGTGAAGATGGCCTGATTGCTTGGGGCCCCTGATACCCATATAGGAGACCTGGACGAAGTTCCTGACTCTTGGCTTCTGCCTGGCTCAGTCCTGGCCATTGTGCCATCTGGGGAGTGAACCAGCAGTTGGAAGATCTATCTCTCTCCCTCTTTCTATGTAACTCTGCCTTTCACATACATACATATATAAATTTTATAAAAAAGAAAGATCTCCAGAAGGAATGAGAGTTCAGAACTGGCAGGGATTTTTGTATTAGTTCCCATTGATGAACAAAAAAACTGAGTTTCAAATATTGAAGTAAATTACCCAAAACCCAATGTCCAATTAAAACTCCAAAAAGAACTAAGAATATGCAAAAAAAATTTGATCAACACAAATTCACTGAGGATATTAACTTACATGTTCTAAAAGAAGCCATGGCCCTGAGTCAGAGGAGGAAATTCTGGAAGGTGGAAGGAAGAACAGTAGGTGTAGGGGGATGGTTTACCAGCAGAGGGTAGCACTTTGACTATTTGTCCTTACATCAACAGCTCCCTGATTTGTCCCTGGCTCATGAATAGTGGTTTTCAGTGTGGAGAGAAGAGCAAGAGATTTTATTCACTTCCCACTCCCATGCCACACAATATTCAGGGACATTTTTCACTGTCACATCTACTAGGTGGAGACAAGGGTAACTGCTGAACATCCTATAGGGCAGAGGACAGGCCCCATAGTATCTGACCAAAAATATTAGTCGTTTTAGAAACTCTGGTTTGCTCTAAATATAAAGGAAGCTAAAGGAAAAGGTTTCTGAAAGAACATTACCAAAAGTTGGCTCTTGAGTAGTGTTCCATGTAGAGCTGTTCATCAGAAAAGGGGGCCAAGTGGATGTCACTGAATGTTGGGAACATCGTTCCTAGTAAGCAAAAGACAGAGAACCAGCAGTTGACTTCCCACCTTCTGATTAAAAGGTACATTCACCCCCCAAGAGAGACTGCTTCCATTCCTTAACTCTGTTTCAGTTATTACACATCAGGCTAAAACATAACTTTGCCTTAAATCAAGCATAAAAAATTTCAGCAAAATAGTGGAAGAGATATAGAAAAAGAATGTCAAAGCAAATTAAAACTAACATGATGACAAAAGGTGTTGGAGTCTTGGGTGAAGCATTTAAATTGTCATAGTTGCTTTCTCAGCTATTAATACTTTTCCTTTCTGTAATTCCTATGATTGGAATTCTGGATTCTTCCTATTTATTTATTTTTTTAATTTTTTTCAATACAGTCTGTAATCACAGGCTTAGTTCACCACAGACCACAATATTCAATAAGTAAAAAGTAGGAAAGCCACAGTTCCACAGGAGTATAAACAAGGGTTAAAAATAATCATATCACAAGATGTTCATTTCATCCTATAGTTTTCTTATATTCTGTATTAATTGTTACATATCAGAAAAATATTACACATGTCTTTTGGGGACTCGATTATTTCACTAAGCATAATGGTTTCCAGTTGTGTCCATCTTGTTGCAAAAGACAGGACTTCATTCTTTTTGTGTCTGAGTAGTATTCCATAGTATATCAATTGATAGACATCTAGGCTGATTCTAAGCTATTGTGAATTGAGCTGCAATACACATGGGGTTCAGTAACTCTTTCATATGTTGCTTTCATTTCATTTGGATAAATTCACAGGAGTGGTATAGCTGGAATTTGGGTATGGAATCTCCATACTGTCTTCTGTAATGGTTGCACTATTTTACATTCTAACCAACAGGGAATTAGGGTACCTCTCCCCCATATCCTTGACAGAATTTTCTGTGTTCTTGATTTCTGGGTGGTAGCCATTTTAATTGGTGTGAGGTGAAACCTCATTGTGGTTTTTATTTGCATTTCCTTGGTGACTTGTGATCCTGAGCATATTTTCATGTGTCTGTTGGCCATTTTTATTTCATTCTTTGAAAAATACCTGTTCATGTCCTTTGCCCATTTCTTAACTGGATTTTTTGTTTTGTTATTATTGAGGTTCTTAATCTCTTTATAGATCCTGCATAATAATCTTCTTCAGGTGCATAGTTTGCAAATATTTTCTCCCATTCTTTCAGTTGCCTGTTTATTTTGTTTAGTGTCTCCTTTGCAGGGAAGAAGATTCTTAACTTGATATAATCCCATTTGTCCATTTTTGTTATTATTTCTTATGCTTCTGGGGTCTTTTCTAAGAAGTCTGCCTATGCGAATATGTTGCAGAATTTCTCTGATTTTTTTTCCTCTAGTAATTTGATGATATCAGGTCATATATGGTGTAAGGCAGGGGTATTATTTTAGACCTCTATATGCTTAGATCCAATTTTCTAAAGAGACTGTCTTTTCCTCAGGAAATGATTTTAGCTCATTTGTCAAAGATTAGTTTGTTGTAGATGCATGGAATAATTTCTTGGGTTTCTACTCTGTTCCACTGGTCTACATACCTATTTCTGTGCCAGTACCCAGTTGTTTTGATTATAACTAGTATGTATAGTATGTCTTGAAATCTGGTATTGTGATGCCTCTGGCTTTTTTGTTGTTGTTGAAGATTGATCCAGCTATTTGGGTTCTCTTGTGTTTTCATGTGAATTTTAGCATTTTTTTTCTAGATCTGAGAAGAAATGTCCTTGGTATTTTGATTGGGATTGCACTGAATCTATAAATTGCTTTAGGTAGTATGGATATTCTGATATTAATTATTCCAATCAACACACATGGAAAATTTTTCCATGTTTTTGGTGTCCTCTTTTTTTAATGTTTTGTAATTTTCACTGTAGAAATCTTTCACATCCTTGGTTAAATTTACTCCAAGATATTTAAAATTTTGGGAGCTATTGTGAATGGAACTGATCTTACAAGTTCTTTAGCAGCCATGGCATTGTTTGTGTATGCAAAGGCTACTGATTTTTATGTGATGATTTTACATCTTGCAGCTCTCTTATGAGTTCCAATGGTTTTAGTGAAGCCTTTTGGTTCACCTATGTTTAGAATTCATGTCATCTGCAAATTAGGGTAATTTCACTTCTTCCTTTCCAATTTGTATCTCTTTGCATTTTTTTTGCATAATGGCTCTGGCTTAAACTTCAAGAACTATATTGAATATCAATAGTGAAATTAGTCATCCTTGTCTTTTTTGGATCTTAGTGGAAATTCTTCCAACTTTTCCTCCATTCAATATTATACTGGCTATAGGTTTGTCATATATTTCCTTGATTGCATTGAGGAATGTTCCTTCTCTACCCAATTTGCTTAAGGTTTTCATCATGAAGGGATGCTGTATTTTATCAAATGCTTTCTCTGCATCTATTAAGATAATCATATGGTTTTTATTCCTCAGTTTCTTAGTGTGATATATCACACTCATTGATTTGCATTTGTTGAACTATCCCTGCATACTAGGCATAAATTCTCCTTGGTCTGGGTAAATGATCTTTTCAGCTAGTATTTTGTTGAGGATTTTTGCATCTATGTTCATTAGGGATATTGGTATATAATTCTCTTTTCTTTATCTTTTTCTGGATTTGGAATTAAGGTGATGCCAGCCTCCTAGAAGGAGTTTGGGAGGATTTTCTCCCTTTCGGTTACTTTGAACAGTTCTAGAAGATTTGGATTTAGTTTATTTTTAATAGTTTTGTTTATTATAAAATCAACTTAGATTTGAAAATAATCACAATCTCAACCTGGAACAGGTGACTAGCCTAGCAATTAAAAGTTCTGTATCTCACATCAGAGTGCCTGGGTTTGATTCAAAGCTCTGTCTCCTCACTTTAGCTTCCTGCTAGTGCACACCCTGGGAGGGAGGTAGTTGTGATGCTTCAAGCTGTAGAGTCCCTACCACCCACATGAAAGAACTGAATTGAGTTCTAGGTTCCTGGTTCTGGCCCCGGTCCAGCCCTGGCCATTGAGGGCATTTAGGGAGTGAGCCAGTAGATAAGGGCTCTGTCTCTCACGCTCCTGTAAATTTTTAAAAATAATAAAAAATCTCATCACATTATTTTTATTCCCAGGTTATTTCCATGTTCAATCAGATCAACTATCTATCTTCTTTGGTGATGTTAGAATCTATGCATCTGTAGATGCTCATATCCTCCATGGGATGCACATGTCTGGGCTTTGTTCCAGGCAGCCAAGGTGCACCAGGAGAAAGGCAGATTTTTAGTGGTGAATGATTTCTTAGACTGGCACACCTGAAATCAGGCTTTTCTGAGTAGGTGGTTCTCTGGATCAGGATTATTACCCTTGTAGTTTGTGGAAGACTCTTGTCATTTATTAAGTCACATGTAAAAGAAAGCTGAACTATTGACCCTGTTTCAGAAATGAGGATAGCCTAACAAACGAGGTATGCTGTCATAAAAATAGCAATTAAAGTAACAGCTAAAATGTCTTGATTATGTTAACTCTGCCATGTATTTTTGGGCAGAGTTTCCATGCATTAATGTATTTAATCCCCACCTCTCTAATTATTATATTCATTTTTTAAATGAGGAAACTAAGCAACAGAGAAATTTCAGTGACTCAGCAAAGCTTACAGAAAATAAGTGGAAGTGCAAAATCCAAGGAGTGGAATCTCATCTGAGAATCCGTGCCCCACCCTTTAACTCTTCTACTCCCCTGTTAAGACAGACCAGATCATCTTATTTAGGGCATTTCAGAGGTGATCAGAGGCAAAGCACCATTGTAACACCATCATGTTTCGGTGTCAGTCATGACTTCTTGGTGGTTTTTCAATATCAAGATAAAAAGATGTTAAAAAAGGATTAGAAAGGTGTTATGTGTTTACTGCTTTTGTCAACTCAGAAACTTCAGTGGAAAATATTGTGAGACCCAACTCAAACAGGAATCCTAGTGCATTAGACAAAATGGAGGGGAAGACATTATCAAAGGTAAAATATATTTAAAGATACACACCAAGCACACCTGAAATAAATAGTACATTAAAATTTTGCAGATGCAAAACCTATGTCACTCCAAAGGACCTGGAGTTGGGATGGCACTGAATCTCTCAACAGCAACACTGCACGTCAGAAACAAATAAATGAACAACTCTGAATGTACCCCCATGTTTACTGCAACTCAGTTCACAAGAGCTAAGACATAGAATCAACCCAGATGTCCATCAGCTAAAGACTGGCTAAAGAAATTATGGTATATATACACTATGGAATACTACATAGTGGCTAAAAAAAAATGAAATCCTGTCGTTTGCAAAAAAATGGATGAAACTGGAAACCATTATACTCAGTGAAATAAGCCAATCTCCAAAAGGACAAAATACCATAAATTATCCCTGACTGTGGTAACTAACAGAGTACCTAAAAGATAATCTACGGGAGTGAAATTGACACTTTGAGATAAAATTATTTCCAACTGCCCTTGTCTTGACCATTAAGGAACAGTGTTTTTTTTATTTTTCTTCATACTATTTGTTGAACTCTTTTACTTAGTGTAGGGTTAATCTTATGGGTATAAAGTTAAATGAAAATAGATCTCTGAAAAAATAGAATGGGAATAGGAGAGGGAGGAAGAAGGGAGGCGTCTGGGTGGGAGAGAGGGTAGGGTGGAAAGTATCACTATGTTCCTGAATTTGTATTTATGAAATACATGGAATTTGTATACCTCAAATAAAACTTTTTTAAAAAATATTGACAAGAAATTCTCTCTCTCTCTCTCTCACTGTCCGCTCTGCCTGTCAAAAAAAAATGAAAAAAAAAAACAAGAATAAAAAAAAAGTATTAGTATTTTTTTTTGTTCTAGTACCATTGGTTGAACTCTGTAATTAACACACAATTATTCTTAGGTGTTTAAATTTTAACTGAAAAGTGATCCCTGTTAGGAATTTGGAAAACATTATGCTGAGTGAAATAAGCCAATCCCAAAGGGACAAATACCACTT